AGATCTGTCACTTCCCCTAGGGGGTAGAGGGAGTGGGGGCAAAACTACCCCCAGTTGAAAACCACTGCTCTCCAGGAATCTCACTAGCTACCAATTGGGAGTTGCAGAGGATTCTTCTTTGTATACTTGTATTTGAGCACCTTCTTCCTTAACTCTCTATAGCCCTGCTGTCCAATATGGTAGCATCTAGCTCTACATGACTATCTAAATTAATTAAAGTTAAATATAATTAAAATGCATTTTCCTAGCCACGTGTGGCTCCTGGGTACTGTATATTATAGAATATCTCCACTAACACAGCAAATTCTACTGGACAGTGCTCATCTCGAGAAGGAAGCATTCTTAGTGGGAGGTGTATCACCCCCAAGGGAGAAAGAAAGGGTTTGGATTCTTTCCTGGGGAAGGGGAACCTCATTCTATTTATAAAGCAGGGATGTACACACAGTACATTTTACTGACATAGTGTGAAATGTTCATACAGCACATCTGTGGTATTAAAATTACCTGTAAGAGGAGTGAGTTTAGAAGAAAAGAAGTCTAAAAACTCTCCTTAAGAGCTACTTAGGAGCTAGGCGTGGTGGCTCACACCTGTAATCCTAGCACTCTGGGAGGCCAAGGTGGGCGGATTACTCAAGGTCAGGAGTTCGAAACCAGCCTGAGCGAGACCCCGTCTCTACTAAAAATAGAAAGAAATTAATTGATCAACTAAAATTATATATACAAAAACATTAGCCGGGCATGGTGGCGTATGCCTGCAGTCCCAGCTACTCGAGAGACTGAGGCAGCAGGATTGCTTGAGCCCAGGAGTTTGAGGTTGCTGTGAGCTAGGCTGACGCCACAGCACTCACTCTAGCCTGGGCAACAAAGTGAGACTCTGTCTCAAAAAAAAAAAGAGGGACTTAGGGAGAAACACTGATTTAGGGCATTTCCCCCCTTTTTTTGAGATATGATTTGGAACTTGAAGTGCCAGATTTGGGAATGCAACAAAGCGGGTTTAAGATCCTTGAACTCAATGATGAAGCCTCTATTCTTATTTGCTCTCATACTTGTGGCTTTCAAATAACTTAAAGTAACCACACATATGGATTTTCAGTTAAAAACAACTAAAGAAGTGGGTGAAATTTTGCAGATAAAATTTTAGGAGCTGTTGGAAACTCCTTTAGCCAATTCCATGATTTTTAAACAAAGGGACCCTGTTTGAAAACATTAGGTGTATTTTATATTATTAATATAGTGGTTTAATAGTTTTGATTTAATTAGAAGAAAAAGTTAGGAATAAAGTAATGTTTGGATGATGAATTAATTCATACATTTGGATTAAGCAAAAAAAGAAAGCACCCAGCTCTTCCCAGGAGTAGTGCCTGGTTTGTAACGAACACCTGTAGTTATTTGCTGGCTGGATATGGGAAGTCCTTTTGGGGTTGGAGGAGATAATTAGCTGTGAGTCTTAAGGGGCGGTAGAGGTCTGCTTTTTCTTACCAAAGCAGCAAGGTCAGACTCTGCTGTCCCTGCCTGTGTGACCCTGCCCAGACACCCGTGATGTACTGTTAACACTGGTCACTGGACATTCCCACCCAGGACTTGGTGTCTTTGGCAGACACAGAGGGTGTCGGTGAAAGCTTAGAATGTTGGTCAGCTACAGCGTCCTTGAGTAACTCTTCTTGCCTCTTATGATAACCAGTATGGGTAACTGCATTTTATGTCCAAGATTATTGTCTGATCAAAGTGTTTTCCATAGAGCACATCCCCAGTCATAGTTTCAGGGATGGTTTTGTGCACACACAGGCTACTCTAACGAGACATTCCTGGGGCCCCTTCCCAAATTAGTGCAAGCCCACATCAGCCTGGGAGAATCACATGATGAAAAGGGCAGAAGAGGGGAAAACCTCCATAGAGGGAGCTGCTTATCTGCCAAACTGTCCTTAAACCAAGGGAATATTTGACGAACAATTTCTCTAAGAGAAATATTCAAGTCTGTATCCTACAGTCAGCTTTACTGAAGCTATATTTAATGTTTCCCAGAGTAATCATAGTTTGACGTTCCATCAGAAATGAATGAGAGTTCCAGTTCCTCCAACTTCTCACCATCGCTGGGTGGTGTTAATCCTCATTTCAGCTCCTCTGGTGAGCATGTAGTGCTATGTCCTTCTGGGTTTTAGCCCTCAATACCGATAATGTTGAACAACTCTTGGTATGCTTATTTGTCATTTGCTTAGATTGTGTGATGAAATATCTGTTCACGTGTATTGACCATTATAATTGGGTTTTTGTGTTACTGTAAGATGTGAGAGTTATTTTTTTTCATTTTAAATCAAGATTTTGTTGAATTTGTGTCCTTACAATCTGTTTGTTAAAAAATTTTCTTGATGATGTCTTTAGAAGAGCAGAAGATTTAAAATTTAAATTTCACTTTATCATCCTTTTGTATAGTTTGTGCTTTTTGTTTCATACCTAAGACCTCATTACATAACTTGAGTGCACAGAGTTTTTAGTTTATGGTACATGTAGAGTCAACATTTTGCCTGTGTTAAGTTAAAGCTTAGATTTACTACTTTTCTTAAACCAAGGAATAAGTTAAAAATTTACCCATATATATATACTATTCCTGGCACTCCTCATTCTTTTATTTAATTATATTTTGGTCTGATACCCTTTTTATGTCTAGAGAAATTTCTTTTATAGTTCTTATAGAAAAGTTCTACAGGGCATAAATTTTTTCTGGTTTTGTTTTTCTAAAACAAAATCTTATATTTACCTTTACTTTTGAAGGATTTTTTTTCTGGGTAAAGAATTCTAAGTTAATATTTTTCTTTCATTGTTTCACATATGCTAATACATTGTCATTTGGCTTGCATGGTTTCTGATAAGATATCTGTAGCAATTATTATCTATACTTCTCTGTATGTAATATGTCTTTTTCCTCTAGCTCATCTTAAGAATTTTTTACTGTATTTCTAAGTTTAATCAATTTGGTAATGATTTGCCTTGCTGTGATTTGGAGTTTCTTGACCTCATTCAATCCATAATTTTATAATTGTCACCAAATTTAGGAAAATGTCAATCATTATATTTCAAATAGTTTTCTGCCCTCCTCCCCTCACCTACTTCTGGGATTACAATTGAACATGCATTAGGCCACATGATATTATTCCACAGTTGACTATTGCTTTATTTTATGCTTTTGTCTCTATGATCCTGTTTAATAATTTCAACTAATATGGCTTCAAATTTATATGTTTTTCCTCTGCATCTTGCAATTTACTGCTAATTCTGTGCAATATTTTTCAGATATTTTATTTTTCATCTCAAGAATTTATATTCAGTTCTTTTTAAATTTTCTTCTTATATTCATGTTTTCTTTTAAATTCTTGACCATTTTGAGCATATTATAACAACTTTTTAAAAATCCTATTCTGCTAATTTCATCACTTTTTTAATTTCTGAATCCAATTCCATTAACTTATTTGTATCATGGAAAATAAGTCACATTGTCCTGATTTTTGGCATGTCTAGAAAATTTTAAATTGGATGTTGAAAATATGCATGATATTTATTTTAGAGTCTGAATGTTGTCTTCCTTTAGCAGCTTGAAATTTTACCTGAGGTACATTTAAGTGACTTCTAAATCACCTGGATGCTTTCAAGGATTGTTTATGAGAGCTGTCAGGTAGTCGCTAGAGTAACCATTACTCTGGGTGATGCTAAAGCATGGCCCCACTGCAGTCTCTAATAACGCCTAAGGTGTTAATTCTCCACTCTGAATGACTGAAACGTACACATCCCCCCACCAGTGTAAGACCTGGAAATTGCTCTGCTTATAGATCCCTGGAGATTTTTGCCCAGACTCATAGAATTTTACCAGATGCATATATGTCCTTGTTTTTAGAAAATACTTAAAGGAGTTTCTATGCATATTTTTAGAGGTCTTTCTTTACGAAGCTTCATGCTTTCTGGAGATCTTTCCTGCAAATTCTTGCCTCCTCAGTGTCCCTGAACTTTCATCTCTATTTTGTCAGCTCATGGGATTGCCTTCTCTGCCCTTGCAGCCCTGAATGTTTCTCCAGACACAAAGGTAGGGCAATCGTCAGACTTATACAATTAAAGGGCCGCATTTCTGTCTCGATCATTGTGCAGTATCTGAAAGCAATCATTTTATATATTTTGTCCAGTTTTCTGTTTATTGCTAATTTCTCTTTGGTCTAAAGCATAAATCCCACAAATCCTCACATATTTCTGATGTAAAGATATGCTCAATGTCAGGGTTGATGTGTCTGAGTGCCATCTCATTTTCACCTACCTTCTTCAAAGTAGCCATGCAAATGACTCTCTAACTCTTCACCATGTTCATTTTCTTCTTATGAAATTTCACAAAATATAAAAACATCTTTCTCACTTATTGGTCCAATTGTTTATTAGATGTCTTTCCCTTAGGGTACTTTACTTTGCACATAATGGGTGCTCTAAAAATGTGAGAATTATCTATTTGAAGTAACTCTCATTAATTTGTGGAATGGTCATTCTACTAATTAAATTTGTAAACCTAATGTTCTTTAAATTTTTTTTTGTTTGTTTAAGATCACCTCCTTAAGATCTTTTCTTAGCTATGATTTTGACAAGAAGATAATGCCATATAATTTATTTAAAAATAACAAAAATAAAGTTCACTAGATGAGGTTTATATCTCAGAAACCATTTGTAACATTATATTACAGTCATTTTAATAATCCCACAGCAAGCCAGCTAGCTTTATTCAACAAATGTCCTATGTTGTGTGTGTGTGTGTGCGCGTAGCACTACCTAGGTGCTTAGTGGAAGTGCATATAAAAGTAGTAGACCCATTTCCTCACAATGAGCAAGTGATCCAGAGGCATGAAACATTATGGGTAAAGAATCCATGGAGATTGTAAGTTTTTGGTCAAAAAATACAAATGGTGGTTGATTTTGAGTTAGATTGAGAAATGTACCGGAGAGGCTGAGTCCAGATGACTAGTGCCTTTTATTGTCTTGCTAAGAAATGTTGGTTATTTTAATGACAGAGAATCTCTTGGTATTATTAAGTAGGAAAAAATAAGATGAGAAGAATTTCCTTTGGAACTGAATTAAGGAAAAGACTGGCAAGAGGAAAGTAAGTTAGGAGTCTCTAATGGTGGTGTGCATGACAGGTCGCAGTGGCTTGGTTTGGGTTGGTGCTGGTAGGATGGTAATTAATGGAGGTAAACCTGAAAAATAGAATGAAAAAGAAAAATAAATGCACTTGCGGGCCCTATCAGATATAGGAGACTGTAGGAAGGAACATTTTAAGTTTCCTAGCCCAAAAGCTTGGAAATCAATGATGTCATTAAAGGAAATATAAAAGCCACACCCACAAGTAGATTTCGGGAAAAGAGAGAAGTTCAGTGTTAGAAACACCAAGATGTCAACAGTAGCGAGACATTCAAGCGTAACTATCCAGAAAACAGCTGGGGATGAGTTTCTGATTCACGTGGGAGTTTGGTTGGAGCTAAAGTCATAGATTTGAGAGTGATCTCATAGAAACCCCACAGATTGCCTTTATAAATTATTCCTCTTTCATAACATAGTAAGCCAGTCCTCAGGGGCACAGAAGAGCTGAGTCACAGACATCCCTGGCATAGTACCTATAAACATGAATTAAAATTTATGTGTCTGAAATTGCATGCTCCGTGACCTACATACCTCCTTTCAGGCTCTAGCATCGGGGTGTGTTGTTAATTTACATCTACTCTCCTTGCTTAGTCCTTGGAAGACAGCAATGTTTGCCTTGTCTTGAGATCCATCCACGCACTGAATTGCCCTACATGACTTCTTATAGCAATGATTGGACACTTCTACTTCTGACCACGATCCTTGACATTTGTTCTTATTCAGTGCTCACAGCCCAACCCCGTAAAGTAGTGGAGTGTCCAGAGGGGACAGACAGAATGAGCTGTTTATCAAGATGTGATCTGAAATATAACCAAAGTATATCCTTAAATGACTTTTAAAACCTACCTGAAGCTCAGGGCCATAAAACATATTTATTTTCAGTGCAGTTCAAACTAAGAAAGCCTACAGAAAATGAAAAGATCACTGCAGTTATTTTTCAAATTCTAAAACTTTAGATTATCCTATAAATTTTGGATTCAAGAAAAAAGCTGAGAAACAGGTTACCAAAATAACTCTCATGTCTGGAATTGTCTTTCGAAATACTGTGTGCTAAGAAAATATTATGGATGTAATTGTTATTTCTTTTTCATGGGCATGCTGCTGTTTTAGATATATCCCTTTTTTGAAATGCACGGTCTTTGTGAAATAGGGGCAGCACATCAGAACAAAAGATGCATCGGAAACTCACAGTTTTACAATCTGGGCCCAGGATGGTGCCAGCTGAATTTCTTTCAGGCAAATGAGACTGAGGGTAAGGGGTGGCTCTCCTTTTCCTCCTCTTCTGGGTCACAGAAGCTTTAGCAGGGAGGGGGCAACAGGCTGCTCTTTCAGGATAAGTGGCAGGAAAATCTGGGACCATAAACCAGAGAAGTCTTGGGAATAAAGATGAACATTGGAGATGGGGAATGAAGGCTCAGACACCACTGATGTGGAAATCTTGAACAGGAGATACCCCAAATTTACGTTAGCCCTGTGGCTAACCATTCAGGGAGTTTTCTTGGATATGGGTGGCACCCAGTTGGTGCTGACTCCTTTCCTTCTCACAAAACTGAGACCCAGCGACTTCCTACATTGCTTAGATCAGCTCTTCAGTGACGTAACCACCACCACCACCACCACCAGCAATCATTCCTCCTGGTGTGTCTCTACAGCATGGCCGGTATGGGGGGTGAGGTTCCACACCGGACAAGTCTTGTTGTTCTCTGTCAGCACGGAAGCTTGAGAAAAAAACTCGAATGAAATAACTTCCTTAGACTCCATAGCTGTGACGAATTGGAGAGACTCAAGTGAATGTCCAGACAGCAGAATTTACTGTATTTTAACAGAATCAATCTGGTCGTTGAAGGAACTGTTGGTGGTTTGCATAAACAAAGTCCACGCTGAGACACTGGATTCAGGAAGAAAGAGACCTAAGAGGGTGCAATCTCACGTGGTTTTAAAGGATGGGCGAGCATTTGTCTTCGACTGTCAAGACAGACGTTAATTAGAGCAACGCGTCTCAACCGGAGGCAGTTCTCCCTCCAGGGGACATTTGGCAATGTGGGGAGACGGTTTTTGGTTGTCACAACTGGGAGAAGGATGCTACTGGCATCTGGTGGGTAAAAGCCAGGGATGTGGCCAAACATCCCACAACGTGCAGGACAGCCTCATGACAAGAATTATCTGACAAAATGGCCATAATGCTACTGTTGAGAAAACCCTGCATTAGATAATTTGGAGGCCAGAAAACAAAACTATAAATTACCTTCAGTTTCCTTCTAGTAGACCAGTACTTCTCACTTTATGCATTCGCATGAGAGTAGAATTCACCAACATCTATTCATTAAAAAAAAAAAAAAAAAAATCAGAGCTTTTCATGCTAGTTGACCATGAAAGCATAACTAAGACAGAAAGGATGGGGTTATGGAAGAATTCTTCATATTTAATCTGGACTCTCCCCATACTAACTTCTCACTTCGTATAATTAACTCAGGTTATTTGTGTCATTGTTGTGTTCTCTGCACTAGGATTTCTTCAAAGGCCATCTCTTCTCAGGGAATTGTATTCTCTATTTGTGCACCTTGAATAATAAAAAGTCCCATTGGACTGTAGGGTAAGGGAAGTGTTATGGTTTCCACTTGCTGTCATCTGAACGTCAATCATTTGCATCTCCCGTAGGAACCAGAACAACCACAGGTGCATAGTAGGAGTGTTAGTCACGTCCTAAGTCTTGGTCCTTGCTCAGTAAGGACACCAGGCAGCACATAAGGGATGTTCTTGCAGGCGTTCATTGGCCAAAATTTTCCTCTATGATATTTACAGATTTGAGGGCAGAAAGGGCAGCACAATCTCGTGGGAGGAGGCAACCCTGACCAGTAAGCTCTCAAAGATGCACATCAGGTAGCTCTCTATGCCCCATGGGACCCTGTCTGCCTCACTTTCCTCCCTCTGTGGATGTTCTCTGCTTCTCCATTCTCCCAGTCGGCATGCGGCTGCCCAGATCTCACACGGGCCCCGCAAGTCCTGGATGACCAGCCGTCCCTGCTCAGCTAACACACCTGGTGCTGTCCCTTCCTCTTGCTGGGTATTCATGGCTACATGAGAAGGAACCAAGGTGGGCTGGTGGCCAGGTAAAGGAGTATGTTGAAAAGGTGCTGAGCGTCTCACGTGATCACAGGAAAGCTGGTGTGGGTGGGAATGATTTGAATACCTGGGAGAAAGGTCTAGCCCGCCTGACCATGAACTAATGCATGCCGCAGTCTGATGGGGACATCTCTGTCTTCAGCAGAGGAGGCTGGGTGATGTTTGTACGCTTCTATCCGAGACGCACGGACACGTGGTCCACCGGCCCCTGGAAACTGGATGCTGTGGCTACCACTTCCATGGCTAGCAGGAGTTCCCTGTCATTTCTGATTCTTTGGGTCACTGTCAACAAACTCAATGTCCTCTGGTCACATGCCCTAACTGTCTGAGAGGCTGAGACAACACACATGCTTGTTTCCTATAGTAAGAGGCGGGCCCTGTTACCATGAGAACAAGAATGGCGGGTGTGTCCCAGACAAGGAAAAGGGGTTCAGTGCGAAGTGGTAACACTGGGACCCCCCTGGCAGTTCAAGGTAATCTCACCTCAGTTAAGTCATCCTTAATTCCATCTTGATGCAAATCTTAATTCCATTTGTAATTTTAATTCCCCTTTGCCATGTAATGTAATACATTTGCAGGTTTTGTAAGTTAGGATATGGACATTTTGGGGAACCATGATTCTGCCTACAACAGTACTTACCTAGTCCAGATGGACATAAAATGAATATTTTGTTTTAAGATCCCTAGATTTAGAGTCAGAAGAACATTCTTGCATGATGACTCCAATATTTATTAACTATGACCCTGGACTATGATTAACCTTCTCGGTTGATTTCTTTAATCATAATATGAAAATGGCAGAAGCTAACCCTAAGTTGTTTGCTAACCTGAACCTAGGCAGTTTCTATAAAAAATAATGAAAAGCTTGAGTGGAGATTAAATCCTATGCCATTGGAGCCAGATAGATTTTGTTTAGAATTGTGGTTGTCTCATTTTTTCAATTAACGTGAGCAAGTTACTGAACTTACCATTCTTCATTTTCTTGTCTGGAAAATGGGCACTATCTCATAGAAAAGTTGTAAAAATTAAAAAAGACAATTTTTTTTAAACAGAGTCTCACTCTGTTGCCCGGGCTAGAGTGCCATGGCGTCAGCCTAGCTCACAATAACCTCAGTCTCCTGGGCCTAGGCAATCCTTTTGCTTCAGCCTCCCGAGTAGCTGGGACTACAGGCATGCGCCACCATGCCCTGCTAGGTTTTTATATATATTTTTAGTTGTCCAATTAATTTATTTCTATTTTTTAGGAGAGACAGGATCTCACTCTTGCTCAGGCTAGTTTCGAACTCCTGACCTGCCTCGGCTTCCCAGAGTGCTAGGATTGCAGGAGTGAACCACCACACCCGGCCAAAAAAGACAATTTAAAAAAAGAGTCAAAGTGTCATGCCTGGTATAGAGTGAATACCTAATACCAGAACTGAAAATACCTAAGTTTATTTAGACCAGTGTTTCTCAACCTTTACACTGCTGATATTTGAGCTGGGTAAAGTTTTTTTGTTTGTTTGTTTTGTTTTTTTTTTTTTTGCTGTGGAGAGGCAGTCCTATGCAATGGAGAGTGTTTAGTAGCATCCTGGTCTTCTCTCAGTAGGTATTAAGAGGTCCTCTTTCCCCTCCCCACTCCAAGTTGTGAAAACCAAAATATCTCCAGATGTTGCCAAAGGTCCCCAGGAGCGAAGATCACCCCCCTTGTTATGAATCACTTATCTAGACAAATAGTTGTTCGACGATTATATGTTCTTCATAATATCTAGTCGTAGGTTGCATATTTAACTCATGCATAAAAATATAAGCAGTCATAGATTTACATGTCTTAGAAATGTATGTGCTATGTGGCAACTTCTTTCTCCCTAGAGTAGAAAGAAACAGAAAGTGTGACTTTTTAAAATTTGTTGTTGGCAGCAGATAAATATCTGATTTGTTCAAGACCAAAGAGCCCGTGTCTAACATCCCATTTAGTTGGGGATACTCTTCCTTTTTTCACTTATCTGCATTCATTTTGAGGCAATTACCACAACACACTTATCGGTTTAACTGAGTCAAATGTGTGTACATTCCCATTTTGTTAGAACACAAATCCAAAATTACAAGTGAATGGGCAAAGCTTATCTTTTCCCCTAAAACCTATTACTTCTACTGTTAGAAAGAAGCCTCAAGCTGTGTCTGACTAAATGCAAAATTCACAGGAAAGCTAGAGCCTGCTCCATGTTTTAATTAGAGTTATGCTTGAGGGGTAGAGTGATAATGACCCCCATTTTCACCTTTGACCTAAAGGAAGATGCATATTATGTATTCTAACAGATGAAAAAAGGTCAACGTGGAGCGCTCCTTGCTTAGATTTCTCAAAATTACATGGATTATTGATTAGACTCACAGCATGAATCACTCCAGGAAATCCACCCTCCAGTGGGTTTAGCAGATGGGGAGATGTTTTTCAATAGCCAGGTAGCCATTGAAATGATCACCTTGATCAAGAAATAGTTTCCACATAAACCAGAATTAAATTGCAGAGGTGAGAGTACAAACCCTAGGAAACTCCGTGGCACGGGCATCAGACACAGAGAAACAGCCAGCTGCCAGCGTGCTGCCAAGCATCAGCATGGTGTCCCAGCGAAGTCGGGTGGGCCAGTCAACTGTAGAAGGACCCCAAGTGTCCAGAAAACACCAGGCTCTCCAGGGTTTCTCCAGAAGTTTATGTGATAACAAGAGCACAGACCCAGAACAACACAAAACAGACAGAGCTGAGCAGACAGCTTCAGGGATGCCCAGCCTGGAGCATAACAGGTGGGTAAGCTGTGGGCCGGGCAGCTGAGGACGGAGACAGTCGACAGAGCAGGTGGAGAGGCTTCTCCATAGGCAGAGGGTCTCAGCAACCAGGTCATAATCTAGGAAAATTACATAAGACCTGAGAGGTGTGACCAGAAACGTTGGAGAGGAAGCCTGTATTACTCAGGGTTCTCCAATAGGAGATCTGTATCTATATGTATATCTGTATCTATATCTATATTTATATCATATCTATATCAATATCTCTATCTGTATTTATATCTATATCTGTATTTATAACTATATCTATGTCTGTATCGGTCTCTATATCAATATCTATATCTATAGCTGCATCTGTATCTATAGCTTTGTCTACATATGTGTCTGTGTCAGTATCTACTGTGGGAATTGGCTCACACATGTCCAGAAGTCCCATCCTCTGCTGTCTGCAGGCTTCCGTCCCAGAAGTGTCAGTGCTGTCACTCAGCCCAAGTCCAAAGGCCCAAGAACCAGGGTGCCTGTTGGCCACGTGCAGGGGAGCACAGCTATCCTAGCTCAGACAGAGAGCACGGAGCCACCCCTCTGCCACCCTGTGCTCTGTGCAGACCCGCCACAGGCTGGGCGGTGCCCACCTGCATTGGGAAGGTCGCCCTCCGCACACGGTCCTCTGGTACAAACGCCGATCCTACCTGGAGACATGCTCACACACACACACCCAGAAGTAACATTTGACCAGCTGCCGGGGCGTCTCTTAACCTACTCAAGTTGACCTGTGAAACTAGCCAGCACAGAGACCATGTCTCAGAAATAAAGGGACTACACCCGGGGAAAGGTTACTAAAAAAGGACACAGGGCCAGGGGAAGAGTAAGAAACAACCACGAGGAAGTCAATTGGTATCAGGCGCAGGGTGAAATCTAGCTTGGCGTCTTGGATCACAAGATCAGAGATGGGCAAATGTCTGGAATTCAGGAAAACTCTCAGCTTACCTTCGAGTCGGTGCTTGCAGGTTTCCAAGGTCTGGACTTGGGGCTGTGTCATGGGGTCAGTTGCACTGCGGGTAACACAGCCTGGCTGTGTGTTCTGACCACAACCCCGAGACTTAAAGGTGAGTCTGCTACCAGCACCAGCCTGCTAATGGCTCCGTAGTTCATGAAGCTCCATGTTTAACACTTTCCCGTTTGACAAATCATTGCTTTCTGCTTGATTTAGATGTGCATTTGTTTTCCAAAACCAGCAACATTCTACTTCCAGCACCATATAGACTTGTAAGAAAACATCCCTCTCCGTATAAATATAAAACCAGAGAAATATGTATCTGTGCAGGGTACTTTTTGCCGGTTAAATTATTAGTGTTATTCTCATCTCTCAGATAAGAAATTCAGAGGCTGTAAGTAGGCCAAAGTCACTGAACCGCAAAATGCACTCTGAATGGAGAGAACCTTTATTATGCTGCCAAAGGAAAGTAGCAAAGATTGGTCTGTGGGTATTTGTCAGGTATCATCCATGAAGGGCCTCTGGACCAGCCCAATAATAGTAGCGTAGGAAATTAGATACGAACAGGTTAAAATGATAATCAACGGAGAAGGGGAACAGTGAGAACTCCACTAGCTTTGAACAAAGGAAGATGACTGTATTTTGTCCCAAATACGTTTACCTGGGAGGCCGGCCCTGCATTTTATCCACTGGAGATTACCGTGTGCCTGAATATCTCTGAGCTTCCAACCAGCAGCCGCGGCCTCCAAAGAGGGAAGAACAATGGCTCGAAACCTCAGCTTTTCTAGTGGCTGGACAAAAGCGAGGGCCAGCGTCAGCCAACGGGGAGGGTGGAAAGCAAGTGCAGCTGAGCGACATTTGCAGGCGAAATGAAATGAAGGCAGATTCAAAATCCAACAGACCCTTGGCAAAGTCTCCATAGGTAGATTTCTGGGCAGTGAAGCTAGAAACCTGTGGAAGAGAGAATCCATTGAGGTCATTTTTGCTCACGGCCATGGAGCAGGGATGACACTTCCTGGAGTATTTTTGTAAGATCAAGGTCGGTCGTGTGCTTCCAGAAAGGCAATTTCTTTGCAAACCTGTGTACATAGAATCATCAAAGCAATAGTCTTCCTGGTCAATTGAAAACCAAAGACATTTTTATATTCTTTCTCAGAGAAGCACATTGGATGCAGAGGCCTGAGCAAGAGAGAGCACCCAAGGTTAGCGTGCCCGCCACGTGCCCGTGGACAGCCGGGCCAGAGCTGCCCCATCTTTGTGAGGTCACGGCTCCCTCAGCATCTCAATCATATTTTTCATGGTACCTGGAAGCCACAAGAAAGACCTAACGTCGCTGTTTATTAAAGGTTAGCACAAACAACTCAAGAACAATGTGTGTGCTGACTTTTGAGATAAGACACTTCTAAAAATCATATATATTAATTTGAAAGTAGGGAAAAGCATATTTACATATTTTCTTGAATGACCCCGAGCATTGAATGGGACGGGTGTGCCTGTCGGGCACGGCACAGCTTCACGAACCTTCGAATCAGCCTGGGCTCACCCAGCCT